CCGTTGGCTTCTCTCCATTCCCACCACACACCCGACCCCCCCTGGCTCCAGGAGTCTCTCAGTGCCATTTCAGTTCCCGGTGCTCACAGCCCCACAGCGGCTGCCCCGATCCATTCGTTCTGCGTCGGATTCCTCCAATTCTTTTCCTTTCTTTAATTTCTTTTTATCCTTTTTTCTTTCTTCCTTTCCCTTCCTTTTTTTTTTTTTTCTCCTTCTTTTATTTTTACCCTTTCGTTCCTTTTTCCTTTCCTTCCTTCCCTCTTCCCCCCTCTCCTTCATCCCATCTTCCTCCTCCTTTTCTGTTCTTTCTCCCCTTATTTCTCTCTTTCTCTGACTTTCTCCCCTCGGCCCCTCGGTCTCCTTCCCTTCTCACTTCAGCCTTTCTCCTGTCCTTCATAGCATGGTTTGGAGCACGCAGGACCTTACAGAGGATTCAATTCTAACACCTCTCTTACTCTTTTTCTTCCCCTCCTTTTCTCTTCATTTCCCCTTATATATTTTTTTCCCCTTTCCTTTATTTCTCTCTCTTTCCTTTGTTTCCTTCATTTCTTTCTTTTTCTTTTCCTTTTTTTCTCTTCTATTTCCTTTCTCTGTTTCTTTCCACGACAGTTACTGCCGTTCCCTCATTTTCTTTCTCTCTCACTCCACCTTTCTTCCCTTCTCTTTTAATTTCATTTCTGCTTTCCTATTTCCTAACATTTCTCCAGTTTCTCCCTTCTACCCTTTTCTTCCCTCTACCTTTTCCCTCTTTTTTTCCTTTCAGACTTTCTCATTTCTCCATCTCCTCTCTCACTTTTCCCTTTCCCCCTGTTCCCCTCTCAACGTTTCTCTCCTTCTCTGTTCATTTCTCCCCCTTCTCTCTCCCCTTTTCCATTTCCCAAAGCGGCGACCGCGATTCCGAAATCCCACCACCCCCCTCCTTACCCCACCCCACGCTGGGCTGCCCCCCACTCCCCCCCTTTTCACAGCACAAATCCCCACAGCACGGTGCCGGGGCCATTCCCCCCTCCTGACCCCGTCGTTCTGCCCTCAGGGAGCGAAGTGTCCCAGGAGAGCCTCCTCCTGCACGGCCCTTTCGCCCGCAAACCCAAACGCATCCGCACCGCCTTCTCCCCATCCCAGCTGCTGAGGTTGGAAAGGGCCTTCGAGAAGAACCATTACGTGGTGGGCGCCGAACGCAAGCAGCTGGCCAGCAGCCTCAGCCTCTCTGAGACCCAGGTATGGCGCAGCCATCTGCACCCCCGCGTCCGTGGAATGGGGGCTGCGGGCAGCACGCCGCGATGGAGACGCGCCGGGCCAAAGGCTCAGCGGTTCCCCAGGAGCGGTGTGTGGGATCCTCAGCGCCGGGTTGGGGTGGGGATGCCGCGTCCCCGCGCTCTGGTCTCCGTCGTGCTGCCTTATTTCTTCTCTGCCTGATGCGAGCCAAACTAAACTGCCGTGGCCAAAGCAGCGGTGGCGGCACCCCGTTGCCCGTTGGAACCCGTCGGCTCGGTGTCTTTGTGCCGACCCAACAGGACGGCTCATCTCAGCTGCGGCTTTCGGCTTTGAGGGAAGGCTTGGCTCGTTTGGTGTAGGAAACGAGGGAGCCCAGGAGGGCCCAGAAAGCAAAAGGAAAAGTGTTGGTGCAAAGGGGAAAATTGGGGCTGCGCGTGGCCGGCGCGCGGCTGCTGCACGGCGCTCCGGGTGGAGGCACCCGTAATGTTAATTCAGGCTCCAGGCTGCGTCCTGTAATATTCAGCAATGCGGTCAGCTGAGATGGTTTCTACATTCTGGGCCTTTTGGCCTGGTTTTGTATTCATTTATTTCCTTTCCTTTTTTTATGATTTCGTTGGAAATTAAAGCAGAGCTGGGGAATGCTGCCCGACCCCTCACAGTGCACACTGCCTCCAAATCCCCCCGAGCAAAGAGGAGGGCAGAGAGGCAATAGATGCCTGCTTGGGTGTCTGCTTCTGTCTGTCTGTGCGCAGTGCAGGCTGCTCTGCGGTGCCGGCTCGCTGCGCCTGGGGATGCTGTGGGGTCATCAACCCCAGGACGTGGGGTGGTGCAGAGGGGTGGAGGGGAAACCTCTGTGCTTCCAGCTTCATGGCTTTCATATTTGTATTAATAAATACATAAATGTAGTTATATATATATATAGTCTATTAATTACCCAGGAAGAAACAACCCACATGCGCCAATGTTGGATTGTTGGACTCGATGGTGTTTGTGGGTTCCTTCTAACTCAGGATATTCTGCAGTTCTACATCCTATGATCCTAGCATTCTGTGAACAGGACTGGCCCGTACGGTGGTCACCTGCTGTATGCAATAGTAAGGTATGTCCTGTGGCAGTGCTGCTCTCACCCCTTTGCTTTCCATCCACCCAAATCCAACTGGAAGGACCCGTGCTCCCTGGAGCATCCCTTTGGGTGTTCCTCCATTCCAAGGGTTGATCTCGTGGAGAACAACACCTGCAGCACCCCGAGGAAGTTGGAAAGGGTCCCCAAGTTCTCGTGCATCACTGGGACATGGAGAATGTGGGGAGGGCGGAGGTGTTTAACCCCTTCCCATAGAGGTCCAGGACAACAGGACAGGGGAAAAATACGATTGGGGCAAATGGGACTGGGGGCAAATGGCGTTGAGCAAAGACAGGATCGGGGAAAAACGGGATTGGAAAGAAGGGCAGCACACAGCCCTCAGCAAACATGAGTGGGACGGGGATGGAGCTGCGCCTGCGGGGACCGTGGTGCACGAGGAACGGCTGCGGGGTGTGCGTGTGCGGGGTGACGCAGAGCTGCGGGGATGGCGTTGTGGGGCTGGTGGGACACGTGGGTTGTGCGTGTGGGGTGAGATGGGACACGGGTGGGTGCTGTGCCGGAGGGTGTTGTGCTGGGATGGGTGCTGTGGGTGGTGATGCTGCCGTGTCCGTCGGTGGTGGTGTGAGGCTGCTGCGGTGAGCTGACATCACCAGGCTGGGTGGGAAAGCGCTTCCCTGAGCTCATAGAGCCGTAAGGTTGTAGGATAATAGTGTCCCAAGTGGGGACAGACCCCCACGGAGCTGCAGAAAGCCCACACTGTCTCCATCCCAAAGCACAGCCCTCCTCTTGGCTGTGGCTGTGAGGTGTGGGGCGATGCCATCCTGCATTTCTCCCCATACCATTGCAGGGCTGAGCGCACCGTGGCTCCCGTGGGGCGATGGTAATAATTAACAGAATGGCCCACAGCCGTGCTGTGCCCACGAATGCCTGGGAGTTACAGGAGGAGAAAGATGGCACTCTGAGATAAATGCTGGGGGACAATTCCAGGTCCTGAAGAGCAATGTCAGCGTTGATGTGTGGTCTTGGGTTGGTGAGCTGCTTTTGGGGGCCATCCCTTTGCAACCCCTGCGTGTCCCTAAAAAGAACTGCTGAGTTTTGGGGTGTTGTTAAAAGAAAAAGGTGCAGAGTGGCTGGGGCTTTGCAGTGCCACGACAAGGATTGGTGTGCTGGAGCCCAGTGGGTGTAGCATCTCCTGTGCTGTGGGGTTTGCAACCACAGCGCTGTCCTTGGAGCTGCTGGGGATGCGTGGGCACACCTGGTTTGGCCACAGCCTCAGCTCCCAGCACGGCCTTGTTACCAAAGCTGGGACAAAGCCCCATGCAGAGTGGGATCTCTCGGTGTGTGTGGCAGTGCTTTAGGGCCGTGGTTTGGTGAGCACGGTGGTGTTGGGTCACGGTTGGACGTGATGATCGTAGTGGTCTTTTCCGACTTCAATAGAATCATAGAGTGGCTTGGGTTGGGAGGGACCTCAAAGATATCCAGTGACTTTATGATTCCATGTGCGATTGCTGTCGCTGCCTGGATGGCGTTAGGTGCAGGAGAGCATTGTGTGTGTGTGCAGAGCAGCTGCCAAGGGCTGAGAATGGGATGGAGGAGCCACCAGGAGATGGTGCCCATCTGGTACCAGGACAGCTGGGAGCCCACAGGGCAACGCAGGCGTTCGGCATCATGATGGTTAACGTCGGTTTGGAAAGGAACAAAACCCATGTTTGGGGTTTACATGTATGGCTCCCAGGACAGGTTACTGCCCTTACCATTGCGGCCCTGGGGGCTGCAGTCCCATCGGGGTGGGCTGCTCAGAGCTGAGCTGTGCTTGGAGGATGCTGCACTCCTCACACTCAGCTCCCGTTCCCAAAAACTCAGCCGTGCGTCCTCATTGCTTTCTGCCTCACTTTCCCTTTCTCTCATTTTGGGCCCTCAGGAGGGCTGAGAGCTTCACTTAAAGTTTGTCAAGCACTCCGCCGTGGTTGAATTAAAGTGGGCCGTGCCTCAAAACGAATGGTTGGGGGTCAGAACTCTGTGGAACAAGCAGCCATGGGCTGCGCGCTGCTCACTGCACTGCGCACCGAAAGGGTTTTGCTGCCCTTGGAAAGGCAGAAGGAGGGCCTTGGCCTCGCTGTGCTGCGAGGCAGAGGGAGAGCATCGCCTGTGGATGGTGCCCTGCGACGGGGAAGCACGGTCCGTGTTGACAGCAGTGCTGGGACATGAATGCTCCCTCCTACACAGCGCTGGTTGGCAACAGCGGCCGTGCAGCGGCGCCTGGTGGCACACAGGGTCTGTCTGTCCTGCAGGGCCGGAGCTGCGGGCAGCAGCGGGCACTGATAGCATCCTGCATCCTTACACAGCATCTCGTGTCCCTACACAGCATCCTGCATCCTGTGTAGCATCCTGTGCCTGTACACAGCATCCTGCATCACTACACAGCATCCTGCATCCCTGTGTAGCATCCTGTGCTCGTACACAGCATCCTGCATCACTACACAGCATCTCACGTCCCTACACAGCATTCTGCATCCTTACAGAGCATCTCACGTCCTTACACAGCATCCTGCATCCCTGCGTGGCATCCTGTGTCCTTGTATATTATCCCACATCCCCACGCAGCATCCTGTGTCTTTTGTATAGCATCCTGCATCCCTACAGAGCATCCCATGTCCGTACAGCATCCTGCGTATGTGCACAACATCCCGCATCCCTGCACAGCATCCCACATCTGTGCACATCATATTGCGTCCCTACACAGCATCCTGCATCCCTGTATGATCTCCTGAGTCCTTGGATAGTATCCTCCATCCCGACACGGCATCCTGCATCCCCACACAGCATCTTGTGTCCATACACAGCGTCCTGCCAGCAGTGTCGTGCTCCTCTTGGTGTCTGGGTGCCTCTCTCACCCCACACGGAGCTCTCTGTGCCCTGGCTGCTGTCTGGGATGGCAGTGGGTTGAGGCAGATGAGGAGTGACCGGGTCTGAGGATGGGGATGCTGCTCCTCTCCGGCTCCTTGGGAAACGTTTGACTGCTGTCACAGTGAAATAGGTTTCCTTACATCTGAATACGGTGAATTCATAATCTCCATTTGCTTCCTGATTATCTGCAGTGCGACCTCAGTGCCTCTCAGAGCTTTCCCTCGGGCTTTGCACACACCGACCTACAAATGCAATGGGTTAAACCCCAAATGCTCCTTTTTAATTCCATCTTTGGGTGCAGGGAGATGAAGGGTTGCCCTGCTGCACTCTGAACAGAACCACGGCCAAGACCTGGTGGTGCCACCTCAGCATGGGGACACGGCTCTGGGCTGGGTGTGTGGGGACAGCTCTGTGTGACCCCTCCACGGCCACTGGGGCCGTTGTGCTCATGGTGCCGAGCGCCAGGGTGATGGGCAAGGGGGGGGGATGTTTTAATTTATTCTTTTATTTTTTGGTGCCTGTGTGTTGGGCACCAGGGCGATGGGCACCGGAGTGATGGGTGCAAGTGTGATGGACACCACTGTGATGGGCACCGGGTAATGGTAACCAGGGTGCCACTGTGATGGGCAACAGCGTGATGGGCACCAGGGTAACGGGTACCAGGGTGGTGGCTGCACCAGTGTGTTGGTGACAGGATGATGGGCACCAGAGCGGTGAGTGCCAGGGTGATTGGCACCCTCCACACCCCAGGTCCTGCCATCAGAATGGGAAAGTGAAGAAGGGCAGGGCGACCATGGCGCACTCCTGGTGTGACTTTTTTTTTGTGGGGGGGGTCACTTTTAGAGGAAAACGGGATTTTTTTTTCTCTGCTCCTCCTCCCCAAGGTGAAAGTGTGGTTCCAGAACCGGCGGACGAAATACAAACGGCAAAAGCTGGAGGAGGAAGGGCCGGATTCGGAGCAGAAGAAGAAAGGTTCCCATCACATCAACCGATGGCGCCTCGCCACCAAGCAGTCGAGCGGAGAAGACATCGACGTCACCTCCAACGACTAAGGCAGGGACAGGCTCGTGGTGCAGCCGCCATGCAGAGGAACCCGGGGGACGACGCGGGGACGCGCGCGGCATCACCCAACGAACTCTAAGGGACGTCACCGCCGCCGCCGCCGCCCCACCGGCACCCATCCGTCCACCCCCCCAGCCGCCCGGAGCCCGGTGCCCGGCGCAGCCCTCGGGGCGCGTTTTGGGGCTCTCCTGCTGAGCCCGGGAGGAAGAGGAGGCTGCCGGGACCCCTGGACACGACCGTGCAGCCTCCTCCGCGTGGGGACCGCCCGTCAGCCGTGAGATCGCATCCAACGTCCTACCTTCGAGCTCAATGTTTCCAACCCTTTTATTTTCCTTTCCGCCCTCCCCCCCTTTTTTTTTTCACCCCCTCTCTCCTCCTCTTTTCTCTGTCTCTCTCTCTTTTTTTTGTTGTCGTTTTGTTTTAATTTATTCTCTTTTTTTTTTTTTTTTGTGCCCGTGTGTGCGTGCGTTCCCCGTCCCGTAGGTAGTCCGCATCTGTAGTGTGTGTTACTGCGTGGTAATAAAAAGCAAGATGTGCTCTGAGTACGTCTGGTTATCCTTGGAGAGGTGAGGGGGGAGCTGCCCCCATTGCCCACCCCAGAAATGTCCCATGAGGATGTGGTCACGGGGGCTGTGGTGCCATCGGATGGTGTCACCACGGGCTTGGCTCGCATGGGACTGATGGATGCAGGAGAGCTCGTGCACCGTGGTGGCATCTCAGCAGCGTCCCCTCCTCCCAGGTTGGTGTCAGGGAGGTGACACGGTGACAGAAAGCAGAAGGGGGGGTGACTGCAGGTATGACAGGCATGCGGTGCTCGGGGGCTGGCAGCTGTCACACCTGTGCTGGGTATTGGATGTCAAGGGAGGGGCGTCCCACAGTGACATTGGTGCGGTGAGAAACGGGGTGCTGGGGGCTGGAGAAGCTCCAGGCGCTGCTGGAGCCCCAGAATTTGGGTGGGGGGGGACGAGGGTCCCACCTGCATCTCCCCTGGGAAGGAAATTTATAACCATCATATATATATAGAATTATCGTTAAAGTTGGATGATAGGGTCATTAAGATTGGAAAGGACCTTTCAGATCATTGAATCCAACCATCAACCCATCGAGTCCAACCACCAACCTGCTGGGTTGATGTGTGCATATTACACACGTACAAATAAATATGATAGGCACCGATGTAAGAATGAAATATACCCAAATCTAACAGTCAAACAGAGAGAGACATCATAATCCCTGCTGTTTGGAAAGGGGCTGCCCTCGCCTTACGTGCAAAGGGAAAAGCCACATCCCTGGAGCAGTTCCCCTCTGCAAACAGCACATAAAACATCCTGCCAATGAGACTTCCAAAGCCCCAAATCTGGGCTGACCTTTGCATCAGTGCGATTGGCCACGCTGAGCTCTGAGCCCTGACCCAAAATTTGCTCCCAATTTCCCCACTACCCAAAGAGACCCAAATTTTGCTCCCATATGCCCAATGTCCACCCAGACCCAAATTTTACCGTCAGACCCCAACCGGACCCAAATTTCGCTTCTACCCTTCACCCACCCCCAAATGCTGCCATAGCCAACAAAGTCTTTAAATGCTTTTATTCCAGACACGTCCAAGTGTTACACAAAGTGTTGCGGTCGATCAATCGGTTGAGGAAGGTTAAAAAGAGACTTGTGTGTGTTTGGGGGCCGTGCCAGGGGGTGAGGCTGGAAGACGTGGCTGGGAGCGAAGCCCCCGAGGCAGCCATAGGGAGCCACCAGGGTGTCACAAGGGGCTGATTCCCAACAGGAATCAAGGAGGTGCCGGGGGCTGGGAGTGGGAACCCGGCGTAAACCTGAGGCCTTCGAGGGCGATGGCTCCGGATGCGTGGGGATGGAGAGAAATGCTGAGCGTGGAGCAGAAAAGAATGGAGCCGTGCCCGAGCTCGTGGAAGGAAAAGTGAGAAAGGAGGCAAAGCAGCTCAGAAATAATACCAAAAAAATAGCCAAAAAGCAGTTTTGGGTTGTGAGAGCACATGGGATGTGAGAGCACACGGATGTGAGAGCACACGGATGTGA